GAGCGTGCAAGAGTATGGTTTCTATGTACCTCTCATTTGCCACTGATCCACCTGTGCAGAAACAAAATGTGTATTATTTAGTCCAATGTTCATGAATATCATGGGAGGGCTATGGGGCTTCCTCTTTGGTTTAAAAAAAAAAAATATTTGGGCCAGGCGTGGTGGTTCACGCCTGTAATCTCAGCACTTTGGGAGCCCAAGGTGGGCGGATCACCTGAGGTCAGGAGTTCAAGATCAGCCTGGCTAACATGGCAAAACTCTGTCTCTACTAGAAATATAAAAATTAGCCAGGTGTGGTGGCACATGCCTGTAATCTCAGGTACTCGGGAGGCTGAGGCGGGAGAATTGCTTGACCCTGAAAGCCGGAGATTGCAGTGAGCCAAGATCACGCCATTGCACTCCAGCCTGGGCAACAAGAGGGAAATTCTGTCTCAAAAAAAAAAAAAAAAAGAGAGGCTGGCAGAGCCCATGGAAACATAGTCCTTGGTGTAGAATTTCACATTTCTTCAGCCTCCCAGCAACCCTGAAGCTGGAGTGGGAACACTCTGGTGTAATTCGTTTCTGCAGTTCAAACACAGACTTCCAGGAACAGTGGTTACAGTCAGGTTCTGTGGAAGAGCCAAGGGCAGGGCAGAGCAGGAGGAACTGAACAACTCAGCAAAGAGGTGAAGAGAATATGTCAGTTGAGTTGTGAATACTCTGGAGTTAATGTAGTCTAATACTGAACACACAGCAAGGACTTCTCCTCATTTTGAGAAAGACAATGTCTACATCCTGTGCCTGTTTTCCCTAGGACCCCATGCGAAGCTCCATGTTGATCTTCCCAGTATCATCATCTACCTTTTACTTTTTCTTTCATTGAAAAAGGTCTTTCTTTTCTTTTGTTATGCAGTCAAACTGAAAGCCAGCTAATTCCAATCTATTTAGGGATTGAGCTGGGTCAGGGTTGAGTTGCAGCTTTTGAAATACTCATCTACTTTCGATTTGTCCCTGTTGTTCTGGAATGACTTCTCTGACATTTTGTTTGACAGTTGGTGGATATGTATCTCTGAAGTTTTGAAAGAGTTAAGGGGGTTCATCTCTTGTCATCAGATGTTCCCAGCTCAACTCTGTGGCCTCCTGTCTCGTGCAGCTTCAAATCTGGCAAATGTCTCGAAGGAAAGACTCATGTTTGAGGCGGACACTTTCCCATGATAAGTCTTTGTTTTCTAAGCATCAAGAAAATACTGTGAGATAATTCACTGTAAGAGAATTCACTCTGTCTTTTAGAAACTTTTGGTAAGGTTACATCATTAGCAGTCTAATACTGAACACTAAGTAAGGGATTAATTAGAGTTCTACTAATTTTGAAAAAGAAAACATCTACATTCTGCACCTGTTTTTCCTGGGATCCATGTGAAGCTCCATGTTGATCTTCCCAATATCATCAGTTGCCGAGGATGTTGTGCCTACCTCTTTCCATTCTCATTTAAAATGCGTCTGATCTCCTCCTTCTGTTCCCAGCTAATAGGAAAAGTTAAATTACAGGCATGATGTTAGTAAAAGTAGTGGTAAAAACCACAATTACTTTGGTACCAACCTAATAGGAGCTCTGTAATGAGCTCAAACTGGCAAAACATGTGTATTTTAAAAGGACACTTTGAAATCCTACTGCTCTCCCTGTCTCTATAGTTGGCTTATTTCACATTTGTTTTGTTTTATTTTTTTTCTTTGAGACAGTGTCTCGCCCTGTCATCCAGGCTGGAGTGCAGTGGTGTGACCTCGGCTCACTGCAACCTCTGCCTCCCGGGTTCAAGCAGTTCTCCTGCCTCAGCCTCCTGAATGGCTGGGATTATAGGCGCATGCCACCATGCCAGGCTAATTTTTTAGTAGAGACGGGGTTTCACCATGTTGGTCAGGCTGGCCTCTAACACCTGATCTCGTGATCTTCCCCCCTCGGGCTCCCAAAGTGCTGGGTTTACAGGCGTGAGCCACCACGCTCAGCCTCATTCCACACTTATTTCTCGGGCACCTGCTACATAGAAGCCACTATGCTGAACACAGTGTGTGATATTTCAGGAACCAGCCTTCATGAGCCTTTAAAAATGAGTGAGAGGAATGACATATCCCGGAGAACTCAGAGGCTGCTCTGCACTTTACACATTCTTTCATCTTAGGCTGTGGAAACACTCAGAGAGCTTCTCTACTAATATTATGCCGCAAAGAAGACTCTCCAAAGGTAGGAAGAGAGCCTGAGAAAGTTTTCTGGAGTGTATTTCCAAACACTAGAAAAAAAAAGATAAGAAAAAGAAAGTTTTCTGGAGTGTGGAAAAAAATACTAGCTTGTTAGGATTGAACATGGTGAAACCCCGCCTCTACCAGAGGCGCGGATGCGAGATGGGGGAAGTCTTAAGAACAGCTGGAAAGGTGATGTTTTGGCTGCTTTGACGTGGGTGGGGAAAAGGGCAGTCTCCAACAGACATGACAAATGAACAGGTGTGTGTTGTCTTCACTTAGGAAAGAGCCGTGGATATGCTATGAGCTGTTTTCACATCTGACTTGAATTGTGACACTTTTCAGTCAGTTACACTTTTCAACTTTCAAAACCCTGTTTTTGTAAGTTAGGAATATTGCCACGAGGTGGCAGCAGTTATCAGGGTTAAGTTTTATATGCAGGCAGGAAAAAAACTAGGAAAGATAAAAGCAATTAACATACTTTTCTATAGAAAATTAAATGAAATCTTATCATCATCATTAAAGTTGATGCTTTCATGTATATTGACTCAAAGAACTTAAGCACACCAGGTCTAGAGGAGGAGTCTTTATTTATATAGGAGTTCAGACAAACCGGACTTGAAACCACAGTTTTACCTTTTATTAGCTGGGTGGTCTTGGGAAAGTTAAATGAGCTTCATAAGGTTTTGCAACATTTCATGTTGCAATGATTACATGAAATATTTGTCTGCTACAAAGTTGGTATTCAACATGTGGGAGTTATGGTCATTACGAGTGTCCAGTGGCTCTGAAGTTTCCCTTTAAAAACTTATTTCTAGGCTGGGCGCGGTGGCTCACGCCTGTAATCCTAGTGCTTTGGGATATGAGGTGGTTGGATCATCTGAGGTCAGGAGTTGGAGACCAGCCTGACCAACGTGGAGAAACCTTGTCTATACTAAAAATACAAAATTAGCTGGACGTGGTGGCACATGCCTGTAATCCCAGCTATTTGGGAGGCGAGGCAGGAGGATCACTTGCATCTGGGAGGTGGAGGTTGCAGTGAGCCGAGATCACACCACTGCACTCCAGCCTGGGCAACAAGAGTGAAAATCCATCTCGAAACAGAACGAAAAACAAATAAACAAAAACCTTATTTCTACATAGAAACATGAAGTCATACACATAAAGTCGAGCCTTCTTTGGGGTTGTGCATAGCTTAGGGTAGATTCATGACAAAGCTCCATGCCAGCCACAACTTTGCTTAAGGCATCATTTTGGTAACTGGCCTCTTTCTCTCAATACTTCTGAAAGGCTACAATATGAAAAACTATGTATAAATGGTTAGCAGAAGGGCATTCAGTGTGTTGCTTGCTAGATTTAAAAAAACTTTAATTGATTATTATTGCTTATAGAATTAAATCAGTGTTGCTTGGTATGGCATAGAGGGTTCACCTTACAAGATTCTGATCACGTAAGTCATGTCCACATAGATACCTTGTACTGTATGTAGTAACTAGCCATGTGCTACTCTTACAGTAGCCCAGTATTCAAATCTCTCCAGTACTCTACTCAACGAGTATAATATGTATGTAACATATGTATTACAGTGTATAATAGTTAAATTTCTGAAGGTGTTAAATATGTGCTGCTTCAATATAGTATCATAGACTCCGTAGTATTCCTATGACAGCATTACAGTTTTTTCTATTTCAAATGGATTCTTGGATAGAAAATAATATTAAGAGTAACAGTTAGTGTCATGGGAATTGGGCGCACGCAGTAAGCCCTGCTGATGGTCTTGGGCTGGTGATGAACCATGCTGAGAATTGCTCTTCTGGCTGCGTTGGCCACAGTGTTCTCTGAATCATCACACAACTTCACCCCTTTGTGCCACTGCTTAAGCTTTTCATCTGCTTGCAATGTGTGTGTGTGTGTGTGTGTGTGTGTGTGTGTTTAAATTTCTTCACTTCCTCATTTAATATCCTGCACGATCCTTACTTAAATGCTACCTTCTCTGTGAAGCCTTTTCCATCCCACAAGGAACTATCACTCCCTCTCTCCAGTTGCTTTAACAAGATTGTTATTCCTCTCACTCATTCAACAAACCTTTGAATGCCCAGAGTGATCACATTGTCTGACAGTTTGATTATGTGTTCATTATTCCAGCAGGAATGCAGGCATTTGTATACAAAGACCACTTCCTGATTATCTTTGTATTTCCAGAGCTTGGTACAGAGGTGAACGCAGAGCAAGCATTCAATAAGAATTGACTAATTTGTAAAGAATAAAGAAAGAAAAATGTCATGGGCTGTGAAAATCATATATGGAAGGCTACCAATGAGACACAGACGGGGAGGGAGAGGAGAGGAAGAAGCAGAGAGTAGACAGCAAAGCTCCGAAAAGCACATGCCCTCGGGAGCCAAAGAGCAAATTGTTCCATTGTTCTGGCTGAAGTTGCCAGCACCCATTGCTCAGTAGACACAGGCACCAGGGTCCTGTGACCTCAGTGCATTTTACATTTGCTGTCAAATCCTGATCTTTAGATTTCACCAGCAAAGCCATTAATTGTTTTTAAATTCACTACAAAGTGAATATGAAAAGTTCTTGATGCTTGCCAGAGGGAAAACAAAATCTATAGATTTGTAGGCAAACAAGCTGGTACAAAGGTAGGAAAGCCCATGTTCCTAGAGACCAAAAGGGCAAGGGGGATCAGGATATAAGAGAGAGACGGAGCCTCCTCTGTGTGCCCCAACCTCTGGCTCTGCCACTGTGTCCTGCGCGTTGGTGGGCAGTTGAAAATCAGCACCATGAGGGTCCTGGTCTTGGTCTTGGCTTGTCTACATCTCTCAGGAGGTGTGGAAAGGTATGTATTGGGATTTGGCTTAATTGTGGATTCCAGCCTCCAGGGAACATGACAAGTTAGGAAACAGCAAAGGCCTTCCTCTGTAGTCCTCCTGGAACACCAGTCAAGTTGACCCTTGCACTGTGAAATGAACATCCACTGGGGGTTAAGACTTGAAATAGATGGATGGTGTGTGTAGGGGTGTGTGTGTGTGTGTGTGTGTGTGTGTGGGTGGGTGGGTGGGTGTGAGTGCTGGCTAAGAAGGAAGGATGCACACTCCCTACCCCAAACTTATAGAAGAGACAGGAAAGAAACAATATATTTATTCTCTGTAAACAATATATAAACACAACACCCCCAAAATATGTTCTGATCTGGTCTATTCCACACTGGGAATGCTGGATGACAGCAGTGCGTAGAATGTGCTAAAATCTGAGAGCGTTGCTTACAGAGGGCTCTTATTGAGTAGAGTGCTGGAGAGATTTGAACCCTGCAGGTCAGGTCATTGAAGGGGTTGCTTTCATGGTGCCAAGATCATTCCATTAGTCTCTGCAGGATCATTCTGAGGAAAGGCAAGTTTATCCACCAGACAGTGGAGGAGCAGGGCGTACTGGAGACGCTTCTGAGGCACCACCCAAAGGCTGATCCAACCACCAAGTATCATTTCAATAATGATGCTGTTGCTTATGAGCCCATTACCAACTACATGGATGTGAGTGATGAGGCAGGAGTGTCCATAACCCTTATATAACCACCATTCTTAGACACTCACTTATACTGCTCATTAGCTGTAATTTTTGACAAGTTCCTAAACCAAAATCTTACTATGGTAAGTCCTTTCTGTGGAAAGAATCAGAACAAGTACAGTAATTTCTTTTCCTTCTTTCTTTTCTCTCATTGCTGGCCCATCCTGCTAAAGCCCCATTTATATGGTTAAGTGATCCATAGTGGAAATGTTCAAGTCAACTGAGAGATCTGAAGGAAGTCCTGGCAGTGAGTTGCAGGGGAAAGAAGAAAAATGCAAGTGATGCTGTCAGGCAAAAGCTCCAGTGGTTCCGATACTGCATCTCTCCCTCTTTGGAAAGATGCAAAGTCCCCAGAGCAAATGTCTGAATGTTCTCAAGCCCACCATGTCTCATCAGGGCATCTCGACATTCTGGTGTCCTGTGGACTGTCCTTAGTGAGATGTTGCATGTCTGAGCTGGAAGCCGCATTAGGGATCTTCTATTTCAACTCCCACATTTTACAGATGAAGAAACTAAACGCAGATAAGTGACATGACTGGCCCAAGTTAACTTAGAGCTTAAACTACCTTCCAATGAAAAGCTCTTCTTGCTCTCCATGCGTTCTCTTCTCCAGCTCCCTAGCACCCTCTGCTAGTGTGTGACCGGGAGAGAGGAAAATGGTGGTAGGAGTATCTAACATTGAAAGGAAAGGGGAGAGGAGTGTGTGTGTGTGTGTGTGTGTGTGTGCGCGCGCACACGCACGCGCATGTGTGTGTATGTGTGTCTGGACAGTGGAAAGAAGAGAAAGCAATTGTTTCCCCAATTCTGGGTACTCCAGTGTAGCATGGTAAATCCATGAAGATATCAGCTTATTGTAAAAGTAGAAAACACATTTGGAAGAGGACATTGCCTTGCCAAACTAAGTCTTGGCTGGCCAAAGGCTTGTAATTAGGGACAAAAGGTAGAATCTTGAAAGGAACTAACTCCAGATAAGAAGGAGAACTTGTGGGATGAGCCTCTCATTCCCCTCAAAAAACGATTTGGGCAGAATGTGGCTTCCTGTGGGCTAACTCCTTATCCATTCTTAAGACAAGGTTTGGTTGCTTAATGAAGGTAATAAACCTTTCTTTTTCAGTCTTTCTATTTTGGAGAGATCAGCTTTGGGACATCACCCCAAAATTTCCTAGTCCTCTTTGTCAGGGGCTCCTCCAATCTGTGGTTGCCCTCCATCTATTGCCAGAGCCAAGCCTGCTGTGAGTATGTCACCGTCACCCTCCACACCATGAGGGGAGCAGATAGAAGGGAAGATCTGGGATTTGAGTGCAGGTGCATTATTCTAAGTCCAGAGTCCTTTGTGCATATCCATCACTTATCTTCCTTCTGTTTGGAACATCTAGAAATTGCTCTCAGTCTATGACTTCAGCACCACTTTTCAGAAGTGCTGACTCTTTTGGAGACAGACAGCAGAAACAGACTAAGGCTTCCTTTCCTTCCACCCAGCTCCCTCCTGTGGTCCAGTATTCCTGGCACAACTGAGGCAATCTTTCCCTCAGGGAATGGTCAGTTGGAAGGAATTTGGGCAATGTGTGTCATCCAGGGGGATAGACTTTTCTAGAGTTGGCATAGTTTGTCTATAAGCAAAAGATCTAGGGTGATGCCCTATCCCAGCCCTGGTCTGATGAGCCCAATCCATCAAGGATAAATACTTTCATGTGTTTTGGAAAACTGCAAATGACACTAACATTCCATGGTGTCTTTCTGCAGCCAGTCACAACAGGTTTAACTCCAGCCTGTCCTCCACCTTCAGAAATAATCGGCAAACCTATACACTGCCCTATGGGAGTGGCAGCCTGAGTGTGTTCCTGGGCTATGACACCGTGACTGTGAGTTGTGTTCTCATAGCCTCTGACGGTCTGTGGTTTGGCTCCCATTTTTAGAGTCTTACACTATTAGAGAAATCCATACTTACTAATTAGGTACAAGCTTCCCAGAAGCTGAGTGTTGGAGGGAACACAAAGACTGTCTAATTCAGCTTTTGCCCCAAGACATAATTCTCTTCCACAGCAGTCCTGACTGTAGGAAGCCTCTATGTTGTGCTCAAGTTGTGTGTCTTCTTGCAACTTTGCTATGGGGTCCTAACTTTGCCCTCTGGAAACACACAGATAAGGCTGTTTCCTCTTCGACCCAGTCGCACTTTGAATATTTGAAGACAAATCTTTCTACTATTTCTTTATTTCTTTAAACACCTACAATTCCTCTAATCGTTTTTGCACACAGATTGTTCAGTATGAAACCAGTCAGTTCTTTCACTGTCCATGGAAGTGGAAACCAGTTATAACTCCAGAAAAAAACTGCTTCCACTTTTCCAACATCCACACTTTTTTTCAAGACACACGTGATTGAAAAGGTTGCTCTTCATGCACACGAATGTTCATTGCAGCACTGTTTACAATAGCAAAGACCTGGAACCAACCCAAATGCCCATCAATGATAGACTGGACAGGGAAAATGTGGTACATATACACCATGGAATATTATGCAGCCATCAAAAACGATGAGTTCGTGTCCTTTGTGGGGACATGGATGAACCTGGAAACCATCATTCTCAGCAAAATGACACAAGAGCAGAAAATCAAACACCGCATGTTCTCACTCATAGGCGGGTGTTGAACAATGAGAACACATGGACACAGGGAGGGGAGCACTACACACTGGGGTCTGTTGGGGGGAAATGGGGGAGGGACAGGGGGTGGGGAGGTAGGGAGAGATAGTATGGGGAGAAATGCCAGATATAGGTGATGGGGAGGAAGGCAGCAAATCACACTGCCATGTGTGTACCTATGCAACAATCTTGCATGTTCTTCACATGTACCCCAAAACCTAAAATGCAATAAAAAAAGAAAAAAGAAAAGGTTGCCCTTTCACCTTCCACTTCCACACTTGTGGTTGGATTCTGGATGAAAGAAGCCAATGTCTTCTCCCCAGGAGGGTTTCTGGATCCCATATCCGGGGCACGTAAGTCTGGGAAGCCATGTGATTTGTGCACCTGAACTGTCAAGCTACATTGTCTGCTTGTCATAGGTTCAGAACATCATCATCAATAACCAGGAGTTCGGCCTGAGTGAGAATGAGCCCAGTGACTCCTTCTACTATTCAGACTTTAACGGGATCCTGGGAATAGTCTACCCAAACACGGCAGTGGGGAGTACCCCAACAGTGATGCAGGGGCTGCTGCAGCAGGGTCAGCTCACTCAGCCCATCTTCAGCTTCTGCTTCAGCCAGTGAAGGGCTCAGAAAATGAGGTTCCATGCAGATTCTACACAACCCAAGACTAGATGGGGCCCAGGTGATGAGGTGCTCTGACACAGTCAGTATAACTTGCTATATAAAATTCATTGCATTTCAGAAAATTTGGGGAAAATCCTACTTTAAGTACACTTTAAGAATTTTAAATTATATTAGCTATAAGCTGCATGATGACTCTTCATAAAATTGAGTAACGGTCCCTCAGTGTTTAGGAGACTGTATTAGCACTAAAAAACAAGCCTCATGAGCATTACTAGTAAAGAGAAAATGGAATAATAATCATAATGCTATGTCTGGATTTGTAAAGTGTTCTTCTAGAAATTACTTCAAATGACATCTCAAAAATCCTCATGTTAGCCCCGTCTTGCCAGGGAGCAAATGGAGGCCCAAACAGGTTGTCAGCATTGATCAAGGTCACTCACGGTAGGTGTGAAGCCAAGATTCAAACTCAAGTACCTTGATCACAAATCCAGTGCTTTTCTCGCTCCCCTCGGCACTGAACTTTTGTGCCAAACTTTATCCCTTGTTCCTTCTTTCCCAAACACATGATCCTCAAGCACCTGAAGTTCATGTGTCTTTCTTCTAGGACTGGCCAGGATAAGGATCACTGAAGGCCAAAGTCCTTCCAGTATTGTGTAGTTGATGATGACCCTAGCGGGAGCGTGCCTCTCCGAGCGCACTTGCGGGCTCTCTCAGGCCCTGTTCTAGTTGTCCCCAAAGCTGTTCCCTGTTGTTTTCACTTCCTCCCAGGGAGGGTTTCTCTGGCATGCTTTTCTAGTTTGTTTTTGGGTGCCTGGTTTTCACTTCCATCTTCTTTATGGGCATAGTGTCTAGTAGTTTGGTGTTAGTCTGAGAAGTCTCCTCCTGTGCCTCAGCAGGCTGAGTCTAAAAGCAGCTCAGAGGACAGTGTCCCGTCGTCTGCAGCACCCCAGTGTCTGAGGGAGTGTGGGAAGGAGAGAGGAGAGAGCTGTCTCACCCACTATGTGTGGGCACTCACCCTCTTCTGCATCTCTCCCCAACCAAGCAACCCGCCAGTATGGTGGAGAGCTTATCCTTGGAGGTGTGGAACCCCAACTTTGTTCTGGTCGGATCATCTGGACCCTTGTCACCCAGGAACTGTATTGGCTACCTCCTTTTTAAGGCCAACTTCATTCTTTTTTGTTCTTTCTTCTTTTGTTTCCTCTGACTGCGTATTTTCAAATAGCGTGTCTTCCAGCTCACTAATTCTTTCTTCATCTTGATAAATTCTTCCGTTGAGAGAATCTGATGCTTTCTCCAGTATGTCAACTGAATTTTTTAGCTCCAGAATTCCTGCTTGATTTTTAAAAATTATTTCAATCTCTTTGTTAAGTTTATCTGATGGGAATCTGAGTTCCTTCTCTGTGTTGTCTTGATTTTTTTTTTTCTCAAAATAGCCATTTTAAATTCTGTTTGAAAGGTCACATATCTCTGTTACTCTAGGATTCATCATTGGTGCCTTATTTAGTTACCTTGGTGAGGTCATGTTTTCCTGGATGGTCTTGATACGTGTGGATGTTGGTTGATGTCTGGGTATTAAAGAATTAGGTATTTACTATAGTCTTTGCAGTCTGGATTTGTTTGTACATCCTTCTTGAGAAGACTTTCCTGGTACTTGAAGAGACTTGGGCTGGGTGTGGTGGCTTATACCTATAATCCCAGCACTTTGGGGGGCCCAGGCAGGAGGATCACCTGAAGTCAGGAGTTCGGAAACAGCCTGGCCAACACGGAGAAACCCCCTCTTGACTAAAAAAAAAATCGAACAAACAAACAAAAAACCAAAAAGTCAAAATTAGTCGGATGTGGTGGCATATGCCAGTAATCTCAGCTACTTGGGAGGCTGAGGCAGGAGAGTTGCTTGAACCCCGTAGGCAAAGGTTTCAGTGAGCCATTATGCTCCAGCCTGGATGACAGAGCAAGGCTCTGTCTCATAACAAACAAACACACACACACACACACACAAACAAAAACATAAAAGAACTTGGGTGCTGTGATCTAAGTCTTTGGTCACTGCAACTGTGTCTGCATTAGGGGGCAACACCAGCCCAGTAACAATGTGACTCTTGCAGGCTTGTAGAGGTACCGCTTTGGTGGTCTTGGGTATGATCCAGGAGAACTCTCTGAATTACCAGGTAGAGACTCCTATTCTCTTCTTTTTCCTTACTTTTCCCCAAACAAACAAAGTCTCTCTTGCTTTGTTCTAAGCTGCCTGGAGCTGAGGGAAAGGTGACACAGGCACCTCTGTGGCCACCACCACTGGGACTATACTGGGTCAGACCTGAAGCCAGCACACCACTGGATCCTGCCCAAGGCCCATGGTGACCACTGCCTCACTACCACTGACTGTCACTCAAGGCCCAAGGGCTCTTCAGTCAACAAGTGTGAATCCAGGCAGACTTGTGTCCTTCCCTTCAGGGTGCTGAGCCCTCTCCCAGCCTAGGGTGGGTCCAGAAATGCCATCTAGAAGCCAAGGCCTGAAGTAAGGGTCCCAGAAGCCTGCTTGGTATTCTACCTAACCTTGACCAAGTTGGTAAACAAGCTGCAAGAAAAAGTCCCTCTTAATCTTCCCTTTCCTCTCTCAAGCAGAAGGAGTCTCTCTTTGTGGCCACCATAGCTGGGGATGTGCTGGGTTACACCTGAAGCCAGTGTGGTACTGGGTCTCAGCCTAGGCCTGCAGCGGGTACTGCCCAACTACTGCTGATGTTTATTCAAGTACCATGGGCCCTTGAATGAAGGTGATGAATCCTGCCATAGCTGGGTTCCTCCCTTCAAGGCAGTGCATTCCCTTCTGGCCCAGGGTGTGTCTAAAAATGTCATCCAGGAGCTGGGGCCTGGAATGGAGGCCTCAGGACTTTGCCTGATGCCTTATTCTATTGTGGCTGAGCTGGTATCCAAGTTGCAAGACAAAGTTCTCTTTACTCTTTCCTCTTCTCTCCTCAAGCAGAAGGAAGGCATCTCTTTCAGAGCTGCAAGCTGTGCTGCCTCAGGTTGAGGGTGGGGTGGTGCAAGCACTTCCTTGGCTGCCCCAGCTGGTGTCTCATTGGGTTGCATGCACCGCAAGTCTTCTGGCCCCTGGCCCAGCACAGTGCTAGAACTTGCCCAGGGATTGTCCTTATAGCCTAGACTGCCTTCCAAGTTTATTTAGGACCCCAGAGCGCTTTAGCCTGTGGTGCCGGGGCTAGCTGGAACTGTTTCTGACCCCTGGGGTGGACAATTTCCCTCTGGCTAGGCCTGGTGCCCACTGAATTCTATCCTGTGTTGCTTTTTGCAGCACTGAGTTCCAATGCAAAGCCCCACAATCACTGTGCTCTGCCTTCCCAAGCACGTAGATTCCCTTTCCGCACCATGCAGTTGCTGCTGCTGCTAGGAGATGACAGAAGGCTGTGTCAGCAATTCAAGAATGTCTTTCCTATGCTCTTCAGGCCTCTTTCCTAGCTATGATGTTAAAATCAGGTACTGTAATTGCTCACCTGAGTTTTGGTTCTTATGAAAGTCCTTTCTTGTGTGAATAGTTGTTTAATTTGGTGTTCTTGTGGGAGGATGATCATTGGAGGCTTCTGTTTGGCCATCTTGGTCTGCTTCCTCTCCCTCTGAACTGAAAATATTTGTTTCAAAAATAAAAGTGATAAAGACTTATCTTATAAGATATCAAAACTATTCCATGAAATATTTATTAATGGAAAATAATGTAACGTTCACAATTACCTTTGTATGACTTGAAATGTATTTGGTTTTCCTTCCTTAGGCTATTTGTTTCCCTTCAATGATGTGCAATTTTCCTTTTTCCATGTGCGTAGTTCAGTGCTTATGCAGGTCAGCCTGTTGGTGGGGTGGTCTCTCAGGCACTGAAAGAAGTAGAGGTGAATGGTAATTTCAGTGGTTCTTTTCTAAGGGATAGGAAAGATTTCTAAGCCAATTTTCAAGTTACTGTGAAATGGAAAAAAATGTTTTGGGTCAAGAGAATAGAAAAGCATATCTTAGGTGTTAGACAAATAGTAAAACATGAGAATACTGGAAATCTTGAGGAATAATGTATGCCAATGCATATTTTTACCATTCAAAGAAGAAAGAAAGAATACCGTGGGCACCATTTAACCTAAAAGATGCAGACTATTGCATTGCCTGGGGAGTAACTTGGTTGATGGAAGCCAAGATATAGGCTATAGTCTGGAAAGTGCCATTCTGAGACATGTGCACTGTGGACAGCAAAGCAGCTGGGCAGAGCCAGCCAACAAACTGGGAGAGCAAGAGCCATCAGGACCTTTACCAATAAGGTGGGCCTCAGACAGGAATCAGGTCTGGAGAAAGAAGAAAACTTAAGATTTGTTGAGCATTCCCTGTGTGCCAGGCACGTGTTGTTGGAAAACAGTGGATAAGAGTATAAAAATCTGAGAACCCTACTAAAAAACTCCAGTTGGGTGAGTCAGAGATTTGGGAGGCTATGAGTAAGCAACCCAGTTGAGGCCAGGTACTCCTGCCCTGTGCTCCCATGGCACCCCACAATAACCCTATCTCCCCAACTAGTCTCTGAGTTCCTGGAGGACAGGGATGTGTCGTCGATTTTTGGCTAATGTAGCCGATGGGATATTGGGGATATGATGGAATGTGACTTCTACTATACTCTTTCTTTCTTATTTTTTTTCAAGTTGGAGTTTTGCTCTTGTCACCCAGACTGGAGTAAAATGGTGCCATCTCAGCTCACTGCAACCTTTCCCTCCCAGGTTCAAGTGATTCTCCTGCTTCAGCCTCCTGAGTAGCTGCGATTACAGGCACCCGCCACCACCCCCGGCTAATTTTTTTGTATTTTTTGTAGAGACGGGGTTTCATCATGTTGGCCAGGCTGGTCTCAAACTCCTGACTTCAGGTGATCCACCTGCCTTGGCCTCCCAAAGTGCAGGGAATACAGGAGTGAGCCACTGCACCCGGCCTACTATGCTCGTTCTTGAATTACTCTGGGAGAAGCTGTCTGCCATTCTAGAAGCCCTGTGGAGAAGTATATCAAGGAAATTCTGAGGCCTCCTGCCAACAGCCAGCGCCAGCTTGCCAGCTAGATGAGTGACATATCTTATGAGTGGGTTCCCCAGCCCTCGTTAAACCTTAAAAGACTGCCCCAACCAACATCTTGACTGTAACTTCATGAGAAAACCCAAGCCAGAACCACTCAGCTAAGCTACTCCTGAATTATAGAAACCATATGAAATAATAAATGTTGCCTTATTGTTTTAAGTGGCTAAGCTTTGGAGTATTTTGACAACGAACAGGGTCAGGAGTAGCTTGGTGGTTGAATACTGCCAACACCAGAACACTTGAAGAAGAGACATTTATATATTAAACCATTTTTTATCAAGTGCCCAGTCTGTGCCAGGTGCCACAGATCATGATCCAATCCAATCACCTCCCACCAGGTCCCTCCCCAAACATTGAAGATTACAATTCAACATGAGATTTGGGTGGGGACACAGAGTCAAACCATATCTATGAACATGGCCATAAACCACCTCCTTCTTAAGTGGGCTAAAAGGAGGCTAGATGCGTTGAGGACATTCTTGGCCCAGCCTAAAGACCTGCTTTCAAACCAAAGTTGGCAGCTGCCCCTGCACCTGCACCACTCTCTTATCTGCCTGGTTTAGCCCCAGCACTGAGGGGTACGGCCACTGGCAGTAGAAAATCTATGGCCTGGGGGTTATCAAGGTGAGGTGAAACACATACCTGCAACCTTAGCTTCCCAAGAGCCTTTAACCCCTCTTTCAGCAATACCTCTCTCTTCCTGGCAACTCTAGTCTGTTTTGTTTTGTTTTCCTAGAGGGTCAGCCTCTAGCAAAGTAGGTCACAATGTTCTTTACACCATAGTTCCACCACTCCTCCTAGGAGAGGATAAGGGGGCAGTGGTACAAAGATGATGTTTCTCTGGGTGCAGCTGCCCTCTCCCCATTTTTGCCCTTGGCTGTAATAAGGGAAGAAGAAGCTGACGAGCTGGCAGCTGCAGCATCTTATAGTTGTTCCGTCCTTCCTCTATAGCTGTGCGGAAAAGCACAAGGAGCTGAAAAGGAGATAACGCAAAGGGATAATCGTGCCCCTTCCCTGAACTGGATTCCTTCCAAGACCCTGCCGCTGACTTTGGGCACTGGGCTTGGTCCAACTGGAGGAAAATTACATGCTTTAAATGAGCATTCCAATGTGTTGGCTCTACCCACCATGCGCTTTCCTAGCCCTGAGCCCTGGAACTGGGGACCCTAATTTCCAGTATAGCACCCTTCATTCTCTCCCTGGGCTTCCGCATCCTATGGGGAAAAAACTCAGCCTCAGTATCCAGATAAGGCCTCCACTGGCAAGCAGTTCTTTTGGAGTAGCCGGGCCTGGGCTGGTGAGGGAGTCTTTGCTGGCTTTGCTGAGTTTCTCTCCCTCTGGGGAGAAATGAATGACAGGAGATAAGAACATGATGGTC